CTTTTGTCCGAGAAAGGGGTGGGTATACCCACTTTTGTCCATTTCCCTTCAAAAAATATGGGGGTACGCTGCTCGCCGCGATTGGGGGGAGGCATATATTTATCTGTCGCGTCGCTGACTCCAAGAGTGCTGCACGACTGAAAAAAAAGAAAGGTGGCGGAGGAACAAAGATTATCGTTTTACGCAGAAGAGCAGCGCGACCAGCGTACATCCACCGAAGGCTTACGGTTTACAGCAGTAGACTATTCCAGGGGCTATCTAGGGAACCAAGATTTGCCAAATTCCGTCCACTGTAGGCTTCAAACTTGTCGGCGCAACACGCAGCCCCTCCCCAACAAAAATGCGAGACTCGTATCTACGCGGCGCAACCACCCTGCTGTGCACCCACCAAAGCGACCAAGCACAAGAACGCGCCCACTACAGCATCAATCGCCACCAACTTTTGAGGGAAGATGAACTGAGCACCATAGAGTATATTGCAGAAGGGTTGAGCTTGATTGGTGGCGGGAATCAAGAGGTAGACACAGATGAAGTTCAAAACTTGCATTAACATACAGGCACCATGCTTATTTTCTGTCACGCCANCAAGATTTGCCAAATTCCGTCCACTGTAGGCTTCAAACTTGTCGGCGCAACACGCAGCCCCTCCCCAACAAAAATGCGAGACTCGTATCTACGCGGCGCAACCACCCTGCTGTGCACCCACCAAAGCGACCAAGCACAAGAACGCGCCCACTACAGCATCAATCGCCACCAACTTTTGAGGGAAGATGAACTGAGCACCATAGAGTATATTGCAGAAGGGTTGAGCTTGATTGGTGGCGGGAATCAAGAGGTAGACACAGATGAAGTTCAAAACTTGCATTAACATACAGGCACCATGCTTATTTTCTGTCACGCCACCGGCAACACCGAGCATTGGTAACGTTAGCTGCTGATCTTGCGGTTGTACAGCACTTGGAATTGTGCTGCAAGACGTGCTGCACGTGGAATACTCTTCAATGGCGTCGGCTAGATTTGAACTGAAATTGCTGTTGGGGTGCCCCCCTCTCCTGCTGAGGTGTTGCACCGCACACACTTCTGACTTGTGCCTGTTGATTCGGGGCCCTCACCCAGCAGTACAACTCTCCGGAATCCCGGAGAAAAAAACTATGAGAGGATGGAGTAGCGACAGTATCACGGCAGCTACACAAACACGGAACTTGATCACTGATAACTTTGTGCTATCTGACGTCGCACGCAGACAGGCACGGCCGGCAAAATGTACACATAATAATTGAAGTATTTGTTCTCAAAGCATACGAATACATCGTACGCACTGAGCATTGGGTGTGTCGAAAACGCGAGGAAATACTTACACACGAAGANAGTAGCGACAGTATCACGGCAGCTACACAAACACGGAACTTGATCACTGATAACTTTGTGCTATCTGACGTCGCACGCAGACAGGCACGGCCGGCAAAATGTACACATAATAATTGAAGTATTTGTTCTCAAAGCATACGAATACATTGTACGCACTGAGCATTGGGTGTGTCGAAAACGCGAGGAAATACTTACACACGAAGACCGCACACAAGACTGCTCCCCCCGGGTTGCCCACACCTATCAACATCATGCCCGAACTGAAGGAAACAACAAACACCTTATTTATAGTCAGTACAAACGACACAGACAGGCCCGAAACGCAAACAGCACCCCTGTACCAGGCGGTTTGCGACTAACAAAATACTATGCCAATAAACAACGGACACTCAGCGCGGCCGAAAAATATTGCCCCCCGTCCACCTCCCTGCGCAACTGGGTGGGGAAATACAGGGGAGAAAACGCGCGCGCTGTTCGTCCGTCTGATATCTTGTACCACGGTGTCGTCAAATTTCGTGGACGGATGCATCCAACGGAAGTGAAGCACGGACGGACCTGTTCAACCACCAACAAGGACGCGCGGAAGATGTCATTGAAACATGGAGTTAGAACAAATCAGACCACGCGATCTTTCGGTACTACGTGGAGATTTGACGTGCAATAATGCCGGGCACGACATCCCCAATCCTAATCCCAAGGAACGATATATGTACCTGCCTGAAGAAGTAGCCAGATCTCAGTTCCAGGCGTCGGTTACGAGATCCGCAACACCATCATCTGTGTCTCCGTCACTCCAGTTGGAGTCGACGCTCTTCTCGCTAACCCCATCAGGTTCCCCATCGCTGGAGCCAGATTCGCTCGAACCCAACTTGATCAAATCGTCGAGTGCACCGACCGAACCGTCGCCGTTCTCGTCCGACTCGGGGTCCTCTAACTCTGCGCGCTTAGATTCCGCGGCCTCGCCGGCGGAAACGTCCTTGCTCGCAGGCGACTCAGGGGTCCCCGCATCCACGTCGTNCCATCATCTGTGTCTCCGTCACTCCAGTTGGAGTCGACGCTCTTCTCGCTAACCCCATCAGGTTCCCCATCGCTGGAGCCAGATTCGCTCGAACCCAACTTGATCAAATCGTCGAGTGCACCGACCGAACCGTCGCCGTTCTCGTCCGACTCGGGGTCCTCTAACTCTGCGCGCTTAGATTCCGCGGCCTCGCCGGCGGAAACGTCCTTGCTCGCAGGCGACTCAGGGGTCCCCGCATCCACGTCGTTCTGTTCCGCTCCGTGCGATTCCTGCTGCCTCATAGAGGCGGCAAAGAGTGCCATGGCATTGGCAACACTGTAGGATGGCCGTGGTCGACTCTCGATGGGTGGTTGGGGTCGCGAGATACCCTCTCCCCGCCTAGTTTGAGAAGCACCCACCGTAGGCCGTGACGCAGACCTCCCCCCTGCACGCACGGGTGCCGGCGCCGCCCGCCGTAGGGGTGCAACGATTTCTGCAGCCGCAAGCGAGCGAGCACTTCTTGTTCGTGCACCTGCACCTGTTGCACAGGGCCGTGGCCGGATTGCAACCACACGCAAGCGTGACTGTCTTTCGGTCAGGGGCGATGTAAGCACATACTCGGACAGGTCAAGCACGCAGTTCTCCTTTGTGAGTTCGNCGAGCACTTCTTGTTCTTGCACCTGCACCTGTTGCACAGGGCCGTGTCCGGATTGCAACCACACGCAAGCGTGACTGTCTTTCGGTCAGGGGTAATGTAAGCATACTCGGACAGGTCAAGCACGCAGTTCTCCTTTGTGAGTTCGCCGCCGTCGCTCCCCTTTCCTCGTGGGTCGACGCTCCATCCTTTGCCGGCAAACTCTGTCGCCGGCATGGTCTCCCTCAGGCCATTCTGCCAGTACCGCAAGATGGCGTTACCTCGTTCTGCCCGCTTGCGCAAGAAAAAAAAAATGGACAGGTGGCTGTCGTCTTCTTGGGGAGTTGGAGGATGGCGTAACGGATCACGTCCACGTAGCCCTCGACGTCGCCGTCAACGCTTTCGACCAGCTGGGCTGGAGTCAAATGAGCAGTGCCAAACGCCGCTTCATCCTTGTAGAAGAACATGGTCGCCAAAAGCTTCGCGCATTCGTCGACATGCACGGCCCACGTGCCATCCTGCTCCTCGAAGAACAGCGGTCTGCCAAACAAACCCTCCGTCCGCACGCTCTTGAGGGCCAGTACCCACATCTTGTCGAACGGCAGCCCGGAAATTGCCGGGAGGTAGTCACAGCCCGACTCCAGGAACGTTAGGACGAACAGACGGACCTTATCGTTGTCCGTGGGAATCCAGCCCCTGAAGGTCAATAGCGGCCACGCGGACTCGCTTCCGTCCTGGAGTTCGCAGATGCTGGCGAATACTTTGTTTATCCACAGTAACTTGGTCTCGCCACCCACGACCTTCTGGACCGTCACGTCAACCGCCCCTTCGCCACGAGGCCGAAGCCAACCAGTGGTCATCGCTAGTAGAATGATCATCCATAGGTCCATGTCTACCGATGAAACGATCCACTTGTCGAATATTTTCCCCCAGTACTTCTTCGCCTAAACGATGAAGTGTATCAGGGAGAGCTCCGCCTCGCCGATGTCTGGCCCTCGCTGCCGCTCGACGCCAGGGGTAGGGTCGTTTCCGTTTCAAAAGTGAAGGAGTGGTTCGGTTCCGGAAAGCGCCTCCGTGGCACCTACCCCTCCCATCTCAAGGCCTACACCCTCCGCATCTACACCAGCTGGATGATCGGCATTTGCTACACTCGGTGCCAGGGTGGTCTGTCACCCATCCGAATTCCATACGCTCGCACGCCTTTCTTCGCTTCTTGCTTGTTGGTTGGCGTACAAATAGCACCGCTGGGGCAGAAAATCCCCTACCCGCATTCCGCTTTCCAGGCTGATAACCGGCTTTTCTTGGGTTCCCGCCGTGACTCCTACGCCGAGGCTCAACGGGGTGATTGCCCGCGGACTCTGCTTGTCGCCGTTCGTCTTTGGCAATCGCGCGAGCTTTACGGGCCGATGCCTCCCTCCTCGCCTCGCCTTGCTGTCTGTACNCCATACGCTCGCACGCCTTTCTTCGCTTCTTGCTTGTTGGTTGGCGTACAAATAGCACCGCTGGGGCAGAAAATCCCCTACCCGCATTCCGCTTTCCAGGCTGATAACCGGCTTTTCTTGGGTTCCCGCCGTGACTCCTACGCCGAGGCTCAACGGGGTGATTGCCCGCGGACTCTGCTTGTCGCCGTTCGTCTTTGGCAATCGCGCGAGCTTTACGGGCCGATGCCTCCCTCCTCGCCTCGCCTTGCTGTCTGTACTAATCCTCCTCCTCGAGCTTGCTCTCAAGATTGGGTAGGCCACCACCCGTGACACCAATAGAGAGCCTCTTCCTGCGCTTCCTGCCCGACCGGGATGTTCCTCCCGTCCGACGGACGCGTGCACCGGAATCTCTCGCGTCGCGCTTTGTCGCGGCGGGGGGGGGGCGCACCTCAGTGGTTACGTTGCCCTCTCCCCTGCTCCCGATCCGTCGACGTTCACTTGTTGCGTCTCCTCCTGAGTTGTCGACCACTGGAGTACGGGGGGTTAGCGTGCCTACCGTAAGCTGACGAAGGCCCCATCCTGGCTGCATACCCCCGCTTACGGGTGTAACAGAGCTCCCAGGCTGGTTCCGAGGCGTAGCCGGTGGCATAGCCGGTTGACCTGTGGCGTTGTTAGCCCCACCATCCCGGTTGCCCCGCCTACCTTTCCGACGGGTCATCTGTCAGCACGACCTGTGCCGGCCGTTATCCCATGAATTGAATACCTGGCCATGGTATACGACCAAAAATTACAAAATGTCACGTGACACGTACAGCCTACGCAGGCGCTCACCTATGCTATGTCTGTGGGCGCGCTTCGTTGTCTCTTGACAGCCATGCATAACATATGATCCTCTGTATGGGCATTCTTATGTACCTTAGAGCATGACGGACTGAAAGCTGTCGATCTACGTACTAGATGTGCCCGACTCGACATTTCTGCGGCGTGTCAGTCTAGACTACTGCCGTATGTGGACGGTCTGGAGTGTACGTAGCTGAGCGCCCCGGGTCATGTTTGACTCGTACCATGGCAAAGCACCGAGTCTAATTTAACTTCAAGACAGACGTACTTGCCCTCTCGAAGTCCAGATTTCCGATTAATTATTGTGGCGGCCGGACTGCATCGGGCATTTCCATAGTATCTTTGGATGGGGGTCGTGTATCCAGTGGATGTGCATGCGCCACATGAGAGCGTGCGTTCGAACCCCCGAGCGTGGGCTCTCCTGAAAGATGAATTTTGAACACGCCGTGCTTATTTTCTACCGCACTAAATCGCCTCAAACCTTTTGCATTAGGTGGCAATGAGACCTAGATATATGTCGGCAGCACATAATTAGGCTGCAAGACGCCAACCTTGCGCAGAGGTCGGTTTGCGTGTGAAGCTCCTCGAGGATTTTGGAGCTGCCGCAGTGTGGTGCGCTCTAGCTAAAGTCTAAATTTCTCACCCTACCATGTGTATCTGGGCGTATAAAACATACCCTGCTGTGCCCTTGCATCGTGTTAACATACCTCTCGTGTTTTCTGGGCAGTTTAGACTCTGGTTCGCCCTCTAGAGCCGGTGCTGGGTGTGGAGATCTGTTGCGCCGCGAGCCGCCTGATCAGAGGGGTTTCCACACGGGGCTGCTTTCCCGTTGGAAGCTTCTCTTCTCACACTTACTTTTTTTTTTCAGTCGTGCAGCACTGCTATGCTGCTATGCTCTCTCTCTCCTCTCTCTCGTTCCCACGCCCGTACCGCAGTGTCCCACCACTGCCAAGAGGCGAGAACAGAGCAACAAGCGACGATTGAGAGTAGGCCCGAGCAATGAGCGACGATGCACCCACCAAAAACCACGACTAGTGATGGGCCTCAACGAAATTCCTATGCCCGTGTGTTGGGATCCGCGACGGCTGGGGTGTCGGAGCTGCTGCTTTTTCACCCTGTCGACACGGTCGCCAAGCGCCTGATGTCAAATCAAACCGTAGCCGTCACGGGGCAGCCTGTAGCGCAAGCTTTGGAAGCGCTAAACAAGGTACGCCAATGAAGAAGAGCTCGTTCAAGCGGGGTGACCGCTTCCCGCTGCCCTCAGTCGCAGCGCACAAGTCGGAGCAAGCACGCACCCGATCACGCTCGGTTCATCTTTGAGATTTTTGAGTAGTGATTTTCTGCCGTTGTTGGGGACTTTTTCGTCGCTTCACGTTCGACTGCGCCGGCACATCAGTAGAGATTGGTTTCCAGGCGTCATTATCCACAGTATCTCGTCCACGTTCTCGTAGGTGCACAGCCGTAGCTCTCGTCGTTGCTGTCGCTTGGTACTTTTTCCGACAACATTGTAAAACTCCACAAAAAAAATCTGCCGACCACGCAAGTCTCGATTCTCGCCAGAGGTCCAAACGTCCCGACGTGCAATGAATGTTCCACCATGTTCTCAACCTACAGCTGTACACCGGTATTTAGATACCACATGGAGAGATGACGACCATCCCCATCCGTGTGATGGCTGCATATGCAGTCGACTGTGGTGTAAATGCCAAGGTCAAAGTTGGAGGAAAGTGACTACGTACCATGAACCTTTGTCTACATGCCACGAATATAGCAGGACTGCTACACAAGCAGTGCAACTTCAACTTGGTGGTCAACGTCAACGACGACGTTCTCGATCCGAACGTTGAAGCATACCACCAAGTCAATCTCAAGCGTTAGCCGACAGCATGTCGGACGAAAAACTTTAGTCGCTACTCCTTCGCGTCAAGGCCGCAATAGCAGTTACTTGCTGTGTTGTTCACAACCGGCGTTGCCGCTGTAGATTACAACTGGATTGCCGTTACAATTTGTACTGCTTGCTGTAGGTCCCTCTGCCTTGTTCTCCCAGCTCCCGCGCTGCCACCGGCACCAGGAACACCAGCCACAAACTCCCAAGAATGAATGTATTGCACTGCTGGACCAAAATTTCAGTTATTTTTTGCATTCTTCCTATTCCGTGTGTCTCATGTTACGTACTTCGAATTCGAAGTATGCTTTCCACCTTCTGTTCACAGGCTTCCAACCAGATCAAAAGAAGTTCGTCAAAAAATGCTGGTACGTTTCGGGCGTTTGATGAAAGTTGCATGATGAACCGCACAACAGCCTATATGAAGCAGTTGCGGCTGTTGAACTCATGTAATGGTCGATTTTTTCACTGTCACTAGTGCCGGAAACGTGCGGCCTGGTTGTCGGTTTGGCCTTCTGTAAATTGATGTATATATGAACCGGGCTGTATTCTGTGGTGGAACACAACTGGACCACAGCGCACAACCACCTAGCCTTCGACATCCCTACTGCGGCTTTAAGCAAGAAGGGCGCGCTCTTGCTCCTCTTTACACACGGCCAGTACACGCCGCCCGCCCGTTGTTATTTTCGGAAGGAAGAATTCACGACAAACGGTATGTTCATCAAACCGCGGGGTTCCATATATATACTGAGGGCGATGCACGCTTCGGTCGGCGCATTTTCTCGCACGCTGCTGCCGCCGCTGTCATCGCCAGGTTATCTTCAAGGAGGCCTCGCAGATGGGCACGGTGCGCAAGTACCTGAGTCTTTTCCCCGGGCTTGGGTTCGGAGCCGGGTACAAGATTCTCCAGCGGGTCTATAAGTTTGGGGGGCAGGTGAGTGGGTAACCGCAGCGAGACCCTCCCAAAGCATGAACAATGCTGCTGACCGCTGCTGCTTCTTACTCCTGCTGCTTGCTCCTGCAGTTCCTGCTGCTTGCTGTTGCTGCTGCTACGTCTAGGCGGAAATCTTCTGGGCTTTCCACGTCCCATTTTTTTTTACATCCAAATGATAAGCATGTATCAGCGTACTGTTTTGCTCGTACATGGCTGGCATGTCTTCAGCAACTGCACCAAATCGAGCGTATACTTTCCTCCCCGCATGTATACCCTGACACTGCTGTCCTTCCGGCCGCGCGTAAAATCAATCGGGACCCAGCCATTCGTACGGGACTACATTACGAGAAATCACTCCGAGCGCTTCGAGAAAGCGTTCGGCCAGCGACGGGCCAAGTCCATGATGGAGGCCACTGCTGGGAGCATCATCGGAGTAGGGGAGGTACGGTAAAGAGATTCGGCGTGCTCCGTCGCTTAGGCGCTCCCGGAACAAAAGATAGAGGTGGACAGTGACAACTGCGGCTTTTAGAGATGCCTAAAACAAACTGTTGGGCTCGTCAGCGCGGACTAGTATAGTTGTTTTGATGCCGGCATCTCGTTCCCTTAGTCTTGGGGGTCGTAACCGGGGCTTGAGGTGTCGTTTTTTCCGGAGACCCTAGCTGAATAGTCTAATGGTTTGATTTCGACTACTAGACGCAGGCGGCAGAACGGTCGGTTGTAGCCGGAAACAGCAGCAGCGTTGTAGGGCGTGGGCCTTGATGTCTTTCTGGTGTACGTCGGTGAACCAACGCTGGGCACGTGAGACGTATGCTTCAGCAGCGGCAGTAGCGTGGAGTTCGAAATTGACAACACGGTGTCGACCCATCATTGTTGTCGGGTTGTAGTCGAAATTTTGCTGCTGTTTCTGCTGCTATCGTGCTGCGGAACGTGACTTTGCGGGAGGGAAGATGGTGCACCCTGCATTCAGGCGGATTTCCTCTCTTTTGTTTTTTTTCATGTGACCGACCCCTGAAATCTAGGTCATGCGAGGATTCCGTCGCGGTCTTTGACTCCCACGCAGCCGTAGTTTTGGCAAGAAAATGGGAATGGCGATGGATTGAAGAGAGTAGGGTGCCGGGACGGCGGCCGCTCAGACCAGCCCCTGGTATACACGAAAGCGCCGCCTGGCAATACCTCTCAGAGGTGCAACCCACGGACGTCTGAACTCATGCACCACGCGGAAGAGCGCGTGCCTGACGCACCCAGTCAAGGGG